CCCCCCCCGCCCGCGCTTGGACCGCGGCTTCCAGGAAGCTATGGCGCAAGCAAGTCATGCGCATGGGCGCTTGTCGTTTGTTGTAAAGCAGGCAAGCAGACGCGCTGGAAAACTGCAAGACGTGAATGGTGAAGGCTTATGTTGAAGGCTTATATGTTGGACTGCTGCTTGCTGCTGAAGCCTCCCGCCGGCAGGCTATGTCGCAGCACATTGGGCACGGCACCGCACTCTGTTGTCGCGCCGTAGACATCTTGGTTGTAGCAGGAATTGGAAAACTGCTAGATGTCCATGCTGAGAAGGAAGCTCGACTTGTGAGATGCGGTGAGCCTGCTTGCGGCTCGGCTTCGGGGGAGAGGCGCTGTGCCCTCCCCAAAGCAGCGCTCGCTCGGCTTCGGGGGAGAGGCGCTGTGCCCTCCCCAAAGCAGCGCTCGCATCAGCTCTTGCATACGGCGACGGAAAGAAGCTGTCGCAGAAAACACCGGTCAAACAAGCTGTCGCAGAAAACACCGGTCAACCGTTGCAAAAAACACCGGGCAACCGTCGCAAAAAACACCGGGTGGCGGTCACTGACGCAAAAAAACACCGGTCACAGCTTGGAAAAACACCATACAACATAACTGTCTGGAAATACCCTGATTACTGTTGCAATTTACCCTAGTCCCGGATTCGAACCACCCAATCTTTGGGCCACTCCTGAGGGAAGGAGGCTCGAGGTTCTTCCATGCCTCAGGAGAGGCCCAACGCCTTAACCATTAGGCCGCTGGCCCACTGTCTCTATGCTTTTGGATTTCCTGTCCTGCACTTTGCGCATGAGTTTTCAAGGGCCACACTGGGGCTTAAGGTTTGTGTGTGTACTCCATGTTTGCTGTCAGGGGCCTTGCTTTCACCATTTGCCATGCTCTCTTCTGCCTACTTTGGTGATGCAGTGACAGATCATGCCTCTAGGGGTTCCGTGTTGTTTCTTGGGTTCCCCGATTGTTCGAAGAGAAAAAGAACTCTTAACCCATTAAAACTAGGCCATCCACTTCCATGGGGGTCGGCGGCTGCCAGGCGCTAGCCTGGTTAAATAACTGTCTCTCTCTCTCTCTCTGTCTCTCTCTCTCTCTCTCTGTCTCTCTCTCTCTCTCTCTCTCCTTCTTTCTTTCTTTCTTGCTCTCTCACTGTCTCTCTTTCTTTCTTTCGTTCGTTCTTTCTTTCTTTCTTGCGTTCTTTCTTTCTTTCCCTGTGCTCTGCGTGAGGCCTCACCCAAACCAACAAGAGCCACTCTCATCAAACGCCCCGCCACGTCGGAAAGGCCCAATGCCCCAGGCGTTACAGCGGCCATGGCCATGGCCGGATTCGCGCCAAGCACGGCGCGAAGGCGGATCGGCCGTGACAAGGTCGGGACGTGTAAACGTGGACTGAACCACTTGTTTGGGAAATGTGTGGACTGAACCACTGACTTCCATTGATTTCTTTAAAGAAAAACGTTCAATAAAGACTGGTACAACCCGTGAGTTTCTTTGGGATCAGACCTGATCAAACGTCGTCAGACGTGGTCTCTGAAGCAAACTGATCAAACGGCGGCTTTTTCAGGCCGTTCTGAAGCCATTGAAGACATTTCGGATGAGTCACTGCTGCGGAGATGGACTGGGCCGACAAACACACCTTCCACATCAAGGAGCATTTTGTGAAGAAAGGATCGAAACTGCAAAGCCACTTCTGAGCAAAACCACGAGAAGCGCAAGCTCAAGTTTCCAGGCACTCCCTGCTACTCAGCAGGTTTCTCGGAAAATTGGTGCAGTGAAACAGCTCGTTGAGCCGTGAAACAACAGCGGCAAAGGCCCTGACGGGCGGCTTTGGGAAGTAGAGCAGTAACCCTTCGGGAGCTCTACAAAACAATTCCAGTCCCGGAGTTTCTCTCAGCATTGCTCACATCTGCTGACAGGAAATCTGCCTGTGACTATGCAAAGTTTAAAAATTGTCTCCGCGGGTTCTCCAACGAAGGGCCGCTACCTGGCCGCCTTAATGCTTTTCAAGTCCTCATCAATCTGCGTCGTGACATTGCGGATGAGCCGTAGAAGCTTCAAAGATTGCAAGGTCCAAATGGGCACATCCAACAACACCAGATTCAAAAGGCCTAGCCAAAACAAAGGCGGCAAAACGCAGGCACGAAAGAACACCATCTTCGGATTCGGTCCAGCTGCGCTGATGAGTTTCACTCGAACACCGATAAGTTAGCTCAGCTTTTGTAGCTGTTGCACAAGAGAAAGGGTGAACCAAAACGAAAGGACCGGAAAAAAAAAAAAAAAAAAAAAAACAATGGTAACCATGTCTTTTCCACACGACTTCGCCCACCTTCCACGAACTCAGACTGAGTTAGCTGCCCCCCCGCCATCCACGTCCAACAAGTCGAAGAGGTCGCTCATGCTATCGACCGACACCTCGGAGACTCTCCGATCGGTCGAAAGGGTCGAGAGAAACCGCCAGAAACGCTGTAGAACACAGGGGGAAACGCTGTATAAAAGGGACACGTTTTCCAAAAAGCACAGATCATCGAGATGTTTTCACATGCAAACTCGGTCTCTTTTGACACATCCAGCGGACATTTTCGGGAGGTAAGGATCCTCTTGCGTGACGCGTTTGCCAGATGTTTGTTTGCTGGGTTGTTCCTTCTAGGACGCTTTAGGCATCTGAGAGGTGGCTTGAGGCGAACGCGCATCGCAGTGTCCCCTCCCGTCCGCTTGGAGAACGAAAACACCGGCCGAACCTGTTGATGTCGCTGCAGACCTGGTGAAACTCTTGGACCTCTCCATGAACCCAAACAAAACCGACAGCATCTGCCCTGCAAGGGCTTGCGGCAGGGCATGACTGACTCCCAAGAGCTAGCAGCTAGGCATGTCCACTTCTGTTTCACTTCCGCGCGGGCGGCGCGCCAGCCGAATTGAGTACGTGAGTCCACTCCACGGCATGGTCCGTGGCATGTCACCCCCTCGTCCACCCATCCCCAACCTCCAACGGGCCACGGGGATCGGTCTCAAACACCGCAGAACCGCAGACGGAAACGGGAACCCTTCACTGCACGCGCGTGATGCGGAGAAGAAAAGCAGCAACCTCAGCCAGGAACAGAAACCAATGGCTTCACACTCGCGCGCCATGCCCCAGAGAGCCCAAGAAACCGAATTGTTCAAGACCAAGCACCGTTTCCAAGAGCTTCGGCGGTAGCATGTCCAAGGATACATTTTCAATCTCCTCACGCGTGATGCAGCCGCTCTCGTCAGTGTCCAACTTCTGGAAGATATCCAACAAGGCCGGCAACGCTGCCTGGTGTCCAGTGAGAAAAGCTGAAGGGTTTTGAAGGGTCTTTTCCCTGAGAAAAGCAACCACGATCGTCGTTGGCGTGTTATGGCCGTAAATCATGTTTATCAAAAATGAAAAAATCACCCGGCATGATTTCAGACCAACTGGCAAGCAGCAGTCCACAAAAATGAAACGTCCACGCAAAGCCCCTTTGAAAAGACTTGTGCTAAGGATTCTTTTTAATTGAACCCTGTGGAGGGGCACAAGGGCATTAGAGAGTTCCAAACTCCATCCAACTCGACGTCTCCACACGGCTCCTTGATCTTCTGCTTCGTTTTCAGCCGCTCCGACTCTGCCTCATGGGCCGCATGTTCCAAGGCATGCTCCACTAACACGGCTGTGACCTGTGCAGCTTGAGCGCGTCACAAGGACCAAAGTTGCACGCATCTCGCTCAAAAGAATTACTACATGATTCATGATGTGTGCTTGGTGCAATTGTACGGAGTGCATCTATCGACTCTGTCGACCTATCTATCTGTTTATCTATCCTATCTATCTCTCTATCTCTCACTCTCTCACTCTCTCTCTCTCTCTCTCTCTATCTATCTATCTATCTCTTTCTCTCTCTCTCTCTCTTTCTTTCTTTCTTTCTTTCTTTCTTTCCGTCTGGTTGCTCTGCATACGTCAGTCAGCTTCATGAGACTGAGCAGTTTCCAGCAAACACCTCCTCTCTGCCACGGTGAAGGACGTGTCAAAGGTAGAGCCACGCAAGCCCGCAGAGCCAAAGTCATCTCAAAATGAAATCAGCGACATCGCTCTTCAAACCGTCTAATTCGCGATTCGTGCTCAAGGCAAAAGGAGCATTGAGCAAAAGTGAGCAAGCCCCACCCCGACTTCCAAGCCAGTCACGACCAGAAGGGGCACTATAGTGAGCTTCTCTGAAGACGGCACTGCACAAGCACTACGTGAACTATGCTTTGCGTAACACCCCGCGCAGAGCTGTCCAAAACCTGCTGCCAAACTGACGAGTCGCGGAACTGCGCAGCTTTCGTGACCGCAAGATCCAGTGTAGTCTAGCACGCTTCCCCTTCGAGGAGGTTGATATGCCTAGCAGCTGCTTCACGCAGAGAATGTAAAAAGGAACCGTTCGACCAGTTCAGCTGGGCACGGCCACTCGGGACCAAGCCCACCCCCAGTGAGTAAGTGAGGATTGGGGCCGGATTATAATCAGTTTGCTCACATTATTATCGATGCCTCGTCGACAAACCCTGGCCTTCCTGGTAGTGGAGCCCCCAGCTGACGAGGTCCCAATCCACTGTATCGGTGTGAGCCTCTTGTTGAGGATTGTTTGGCAGCAGAGTCCCGAATGTCTGCGAGGGAAGAGTACGGGCAGTAGCACGGACAGACCCAACCAGAATGCCCAAAGCGGTCCGGCTCATGAAGATACGCCGACAGGCGTAGACCTGAAGTGGCTTTGGAGGCCGGCCGAGCAGAAGAGAGCCAGGAAGGCGAAGTGAGAGGGCGATGGAGAAGCTAGACCCCAAAGAACAGGGTCACTGAGGCCCCCAGAGACAGGCCGGCCACGAACACGAAGAAGACCAGGGAGTAAAGGCCTGAGCCCGAACAGTGCGCCGGGCAGCCCGAACCAATTCGATCCAGCTCCGAAGCACTTCGGCCAGGCTTGATGCATCAAGCTTGAGGTGGACAGGAAACATTCATCACTATCTATCTGATCGAGCTATCTATCTATCTATCTATCGTGGTCACGGGCTCGTCTGGGCTCTGCAGCATTGCTTTTTCACAAGCTCAGCAGACCGGACATCCGGATCGAGAAAATTCAGCCGGCTGGCCTGCGGACCGGTCTGTGTTCGCTTCGTCGCGGACCGATGCAAAGAACACTTAGAATAAGTAGACTTATATATATATATATATATGTGTGTGTGTATGTGTGTATGTGTGTGTGTGTGTTTTCTCAACAACTTAGACATATATAGTGAATATTCAACAACTTAGACATATATATATATATATGTGCCCTGAGGGCTTCGACCAGAATGTCATTCAAAACATTCACAGTACATCACATAGACTCCGGTCTATCAGATTCTATCACCTACAGAGCCTCAGAGCAAGCAGACCCTCTTGGAGCTACAACATGTGCGCAATCCGCCATACGCCATACGCGAACATCAATTTGTATGGACCATATTGGGTGTGTCTTAGAAATAGATTCCTCACTTTTGCGGGGGGTAGTTCAGGGTAGCTCCAGCCCATCCCATTGGCTCATTGGGCCGAGATGAATCTCCAAGACACCAAATTCATGAGGGCGATGGAGAAGATCAGCAAGATTGGCATGAAGAACAGAACCAGCCCAGGCCTGACCACCAGCAATTTCTGGCTAAGATTTACTCCTTCACCTGGCCAAATCTTGAGGCTTTGAGGCTTGAAACTGTCTTACTGTATCATATTCCTTCTTCCTGCTGCTTGGCCCGTCCAAAGGACTGGAGGGAAGAAGCGCCTCTCCATGATCAACGGGAAGTAGACTTGCGCGATCGAGTCGGCCGTCGCAAATTGAAGCCTCGGAACGCCCCGACCCGCGCCGCGCGGGTGCGGCGCGGCTCTGGACATGTAGCGACGCGGAGACGAAAAGCACCGCGCAGGCGCCAAGGCGGTCCATGCTGGACAATCCCATGCGGAAGAAATCACCGAAGCCAAGTCATCCCTTCCAAGCGTCCCACTTTGCAAGGTGCCTGCCACCTTCCAAAAACCCGAAGCTCGGCACCACCCCCACTCCAGATCTCTCCCCCTCCCTGTTGTTTTCAACGGTTCCGCCCAGGCACAGGGTCAAGATCGACCGGGGCAGAGAGCCGAAGTTTTCCATGACGATCGGTCGGGTCAACGGGTGGTGCAGCAGGTGAGCGTCATTGCGGATGAACTCGATGGCACAGCCTGCAAAAGCTCCGGACGGCCCGGCTCGGACGACGCCCGACCTCTGCCGGCCGACCTCTGCGACTCTGCGGTCCGTCGTCCGCGGCACCCCCTGAGGCCCTGAGGGAATCGGTGTACCATTAAGTGGACCATAAGTGAACTTGGAATGGATCGTCTTGGATCCGGAGGAACCTTTTTCATATACACATGGGCCTTGTACAGTGATCCGGCAGTGGATTGAGCCATCTAAGAATGCTTGCCTACTTTTTGGCAAGACCTCTCAGTTTCGCATAGTTTACCCAAGTACGCCCTCTCATCCCCAAAAAGGGTGCCAGCGAGAAAATCCTGATCGCAAAGCCAAGACGCAACCGCAAATAAAGAGCCACAAAATCATCCTCAGAAGACGCAGGGACGAACAGTGCGTGGTTGACAGCATTCCAATGGTCCTGGATCTGTGCCAAAAGTGCTCATCTTTCTTCAGAAAGGTGCTCAGGAGACGACCCTCATTGGGTCTGACATTGATGCAGCTAGACTAGAAGGACTTCTTGAATCATCTAAACCAATCATACTCACTCCCTGATAAACCAACACCAACTCCACCCGCTCCAAGGAAAAAACGCCGATTGAGATCCGTTTCGCTCGTTCTTTCAATCGAACATTCTTAACTACCGCCCCCCCCGAGTCTGATATTTAACCCTCAAAAGTCCCGAGACCTCCAAGCCCTCCCCACTCCAAGGTCCCGGACGGTCAGGTCTTCGCTCGGGGTGTCAGGTCTTCGCTTGGGGTGGATGAGAATGGTGTGTTGGTCCGGGGATGCCTACGTCAGACGACGTCTCGTCAAAGCCTTGGCAAAGCTGGTCCTGGCCCCACTGGCCCACTGGACCCGGACCTTCTTTTCCATCTGAAGGATTTGAAATGAATTGAAGAACACCATAGAAGACCCATCGGGTCTGAAAACTGTAGCTCTTCGGGACCTTGTGCTTTGGGACCTAAACGCTGGAAACAGTGTGGAGAAAAGAAGGACCCATTGTGTTCAAAAGGTTTCTAGAACGGTCAGCACAGGACACAGAAGGTCAAAGGTCGAAAGCACACCCCCTAGCCCCCTCCATCGCTCCATCGGTTTTGATGGATGTTTTGAGTTTGCAACCAAGGCTTAAAAACAAAACATCCTCCAAGGCTCAAGCAAACCACCGAAAGGATGGTGTGCCCAGCCGTCAGAACGCCGTAGACCAAGCGCCAAATCACCTGCCGTTCACTCAGCGCCCAAGTTAGCCGTGGAAGAAATGGTTCTCTAGACACGCCCAAAAGGCCCCAAAAGGCCCCAAAACGCCTAGTACAGTGGGATCTGACCGAGCTGAAAAAGAGCCGATTTTGTGGAGTCGCATGGTTGACTGCCATGCTCAACAAACGCTCCGCTCTCCGCTCTCCGTGGATCACCAGAATGCCCATGCATTTTTGGACAGTGCCGGCTAAAGGAGTGTCCAAAGGAAGCACCTGCAGTCTTCAGGCAAAAGCCTGACACTACTTTTGCCAAAGGATGTGTTGTGGTTGACCTCCTGGCTTCCCCCCGTTGCTGGCAGCAGATTCAAAGGAGCTTGCCCGGGCGCTGATTCCAACCCATTTGCATGACTTCTCAGTGCAGGGACCACACGACAGCCTCGACGACTCCAAGTCGCCTTAAAATGGCCCACCATCCGCAGGGCACGTGCCAACCTCAACAGCCTCAAGCCGCGCACCACCAGCACTTTCTGGACCCCATCCAGCGCGTCGCCGAAAACGGGCGCCACCACCAGGGCCAAGATGCCTCTCGGGAGCTGCGGAGCGATCCCGGAGCTCGACGGACGGGAGGTCGGACCGGGACGGAGAAAAACAAAGGAGGCCCTGCTCACTGCCAAACGGCAAAAGACTTCATGTGCATAGGTGAATACATGTGTGAATGTGTTCTTGCCTTGGCCCCACCAACCGCACCCAAGCAAAAGGAACAAGGAAGAGCTATTCATTCAGGCGCTCCCAAAAAATCTTTGGACAGAGCACAGCTTCGAGTCAAGGAGCAAATTAACAAATCAACGTATGCAAACATACTCAGCGCACCATCAAAAATGAGAACAACAAATCATAGATTCCCCAAAACAAAATTAAAATGCATGCTGCATGCATGATTTTCCTCTAGACTAGATGGTGATGCACGACCTGGGAGGAACATTCATCGTGCTGTCTTGCTTTATTCTGCTATGGCGGTGAGCTGGCACAAAGCATTAGTCAAAGCATTAGCCAGCAACATCTCACAATCAGAGGATGCCCGGACAACCAAAAGGAAAAATGTAAAAAATCACCGTGGCATCAGAACCATTGGGCTTTGTCCCCCAGACAGGTGCCGGACACCCAAAACCGTCCATCACCCCCACAAAACCCCAACTCAAACCACCGAACAAGGGAGTTCCCTCGACGCACCGTGGCTCATGTCGGACGACCGAAGGACCGCGCCTACGCAAACTAAGAATAAATCCAACAGAAACCAGCCATTCCAGAAGATTTTCGTGCCGCCGGCCACGAAGCGAAGCAGCAGCTCCAGGGTGTAGACGCCCAGGAATGCACGCTCGACCCAGCCGCTCCACTCGAGGTCTTCGTCAGCGTACAAAGATGCTTCGGTTTCCACTCCGATCATAATCATGTTCGCCATGATGATCGTACCTCACCAAGACATGATGATCATGAAGAGCTGAAGGCTCAAAGGAGTCCTGCCCCATTTCTGAGACAAATACAACCCCCCAAACAAAAATCATGCCCTTGCCTGTCACATACTCGAACCATTTGGAGTTCACGAACTTGTATAAGGCCCGGCGCGACTCCAAGCAGCAGCCCATGCCAACCAAGTGGGCTGGGTCATGGTGATCGTGCATAACTTCATGCACAAGTTTCTGCAAAGGCCCCTTGCCTGATTGCATTCTCAAACCAACCGATTGGCTCTGCAAAAACAGGTCATGCAAAACTGCCACGCAAAACCAACGGCCTTTGACTTCCTCTGTTCCTGTCAGGTTCACGGCAAGGGTGCCAAAAATGGCCTAAAAACGCAGTGTTCACAGGCCAAGTCACTGATTTCCAACTTTTTGTTTTTGGAATTGCTGGTTCGAGCGAGTTCTCTGGAGGTGTCTTCGCTGCGCCGGGTGTCCATACTCATCTTTGGACTGTCAGCGGCGAATTCATCCCACTCGCTGTCCCGAACTTCGGGCAAATCTCCTGCAGCAAATGTTTATACTACCCGCCACTGACATAGGAGTTGTCAGAGGTATGCTCAAAAACACCACTCCCATGTCATTGGTCCTCAGTATACATACCTCTTATTCTTAATTTTGGTCCAATCCATGTTGTAAACCACCGCGACATATCACATGTGAACCCAAAAACGAGTTCACTGCACCCTAGTTCTCCTGAAGGAGGTTCTGGTCGTTCAGTCTTCAAGCTCACTTGAGGCAAACTTATCGAATTCACCCGCGCTAGTAAATCCTCCACTGCCGCTTGCCACTGTTTGTGCTGCTCCTTCAACACGTCCATTCGTTCCATGGATTCTTTCTGCTGCAACTGTATCTGTTGCACAGCCATCTGAAGAGAAAATTCATTGGAGGCCATGTTCAGGAACCCGCTGGGAAGTCAAATCCTTCGAGCCAACTGGCGTCAAAAAATGCCGTGAGCAGCGGCACCTTCCCAGAATGTATGACCCCCCCCCATCCGCAGTTGGGGTCTTTCCCATTGGCAATCCGATGTCGCGCGACTGCGTGGGGTCCATTCGGTTCCTTGGGTTGGCGCGGCACCACCTATGAACATGCTTGGGGGTGGCAGCTGCGCGGTGCCGCATGCCAATTGAAGCCACTTCTTCGTGGCATGTCGGAACTCCTCGAATTTGAACCTCCAGCCTCGGTCGCCTTGGTGGGTTTTGCCTCCTGTAAGCCCCGTTGGCTCGATGCACGGCAACGTGTTGCGGTCTTTTTGGGAAGTGGGGGTGTGTTCTGGTGAAGTTTGCATGGACAATAAATATCAACTGACATCATGACACGTTGACAACACCAAAGGAAATCGCGATAGAGGCGCGGGATACGCCATGGTGCCCGGTGGTTTTTGCGTTTCGTCCCATTCATCACAATTTGCTTGCAAGGTGGCTGCTCATGGCTTGCGTCAGGAAGAATAAGGGGTATATAGGGGTGCAACACAATCAAGGCAACTATCACAATCACCTACTAATGCACTCGCTTCATGCCATTGTCCTTCACTGCGGTTCGTCAACAGAAGGGTGGACGCAACTCTGTTTCCACCATGCGTTCGCCTCCTGCTCTTCCCATTGCATTTTTGCGGTGCGCACAACTCAAAATTCCACAGTTTTGTTTGGCCTTGGAAGCCTTGGCGCGCTATCCGCACACGCCAGGGCGGCTCGGGGCGTGGCCCTTCGGAGGCAGCGAAATCGCGTGAGGAGCGGGAGATGTTCCAGCGGACACCAACTGGAGAACAAAGGGGCTTCAAAGGAAGGACCGCTGCCGCTACGGGGCCCCCCCCCGAGGGCCAAAGAAAAAGCGGTGTCAAAGGTCCATTGGCATCCATTGGCCATCAGCTTGCAACGTGAAGCAAAACGAGACAGTTCTTCCCAGGATTTCCCAAGCATTTTTGTTGGCTGGGCGCGCACCAGTGGGGCGAGGGATCAAAAAAAACAAAAATGAATCAAAAAAAAAATCAGGGGATCAAGAAAAAACAAAAATGAATCAAAAACAACATAAACGCACCCAAGCGTGCAAAGGGAAGAGCAATATTCCATTAACGGGCGGGGGATCAACAAAAAACAGAAACTTCAGTGTGATCAAGAAAAAACAAAAATAAACGGACCCAAACGTGCAGAGGGAAGAGCAATATTCCACTGACGTGGGGATCAACAAAAAACAAAAGTGAATCAAAAATTAATATATATAAGTGTGATCAAGAAAAACAAAAATAAACGGACCCAAACGTGCAGAGGGAAGAGCCATATTCCAGTGATCAGAAGAAACAATCAAACAAACAGGAAAATCACATGAAAAGAAAATGAACATGACAGAAAGAAGGAAAAAAGAATGAACGAGTCAATGAACGAATGAAATAAAGAGTACATACATACCCAGAAACTTATAGGTATGTATGTACGTTAAAGGTATGTATGTATGTCTGGGGAAACATACATACCTACAAAATTATAGGTATGTATGTATGTCTGGGTTCGTAGTGGAAATAAATGAAATGAAAACGCTCAACACTTAAAAGCGGGAGGGGGCGGGAGGGCGCAGCGCCTCCCGTCCCATGCTGTCGGCGGAGGCAATTGTTGGTCCTCTAAGCAGGTACGCTGACTGCTCCACAACCCCAGTCAGGGTTGATCCGACCTGCGTTTGCACAAGCAGTTCCGGTTCCAAGTCCCAGAAGGTCAACCTGATGTTCGGTGACCTGGCCCCGTGGTGTGCCCCAGCAAGGTGGCGCTGTCGGCTTGAGTATGAATAGGCAGGTGTCGAAGTTGTTTGGCATCTCGGCAATATCGTCGAATGCCCACTGTTTGTGGAAAATTTTGCGAAAGAAACACAAAAGCCAGCATGCGTCCAGATAGGTCCTTCACGGGCTGAAAAACGTTCAGAGCAACCTCGTTCTTGCGACCCTGAAACCCCAGCTTTCGAGAGTAGAGGCCATGTACGAGGTGGTCATGTTCTCGAAGCGCGGCCCGTAGTTGTTTTTAAGTCCCTTGGCCCACTGCCAGCCAAGTCGGCTTTAGCGCTCGACGCTGCCGCGGAGGAAGGGTTTACGGCCTATCTTCCTTGAGGGCGAGCGGCCCATGCTGCTGGAACCGCCACTTTGGACAGCCCCATGGCCAATGTGAAGATGTGTGGAGCACACCCAGCGTGATTGACCGCTCGAAGTGTCAACGCGGAATGTGCAAGAGTTTGTTTGGCGTGGCTGCATGAAAGCTCGTAGTTCACTGAACAGAGTGGTCGCGGGCTATATACCCACATGCCAATACCTCAGCAGGGAGCATCGGGCAGCGCCCATTTCACAAGTTTCCTATCAGGACGGACCGCAGCTTGTTGTCGACACCATTCTGGTGCCAAGACCCCGTGGCCGTGCAGGCATTTATTTCGGCGCACCCACTGGTGGGGAGACGCATCAAAAGTTATAAACGCGTCAAAATATAGAAATAAATGCACCAACCAAAAAAAAATAGAAAGAACCGAACAAAAGAAGAAAGGAAGGAAGGAAGGAAGGAAGGAAGGAAGGAAGGGAAATTGAAATGCGATGTTGGAAAACTCTGCCCAGATGCGCAGCGCAGAGACCATGGCAGTTATCAATAAAAGATTCATTGGGGAAACTCCATGATATCTGCTTTTTGGTCGGTGAGAACTACGATCGATGAGATCTACTCCACCTACATTGACGCGAAGGAGCTATTCAACCAATTTTGGCAGAGTGTGGAAATGATCGGTGGCAAGGGCCAAGTACTACTTATGGTTCCGACTTCATGGTTTGGCGATCAAAACGAAAAATATTTTTTGCCCCAAACTTCAATATGTTATGAAAGTTTGAGAGGAGGGAGACACGAAAGGTAGGACAGCGGGAAGAAAAGAGAACGCGAGAGGCAGGAACAAAAATGCAATGTTCAACATGGTGATTTATCCGATTCCCCTCGGAGGCGACCTTTCGTAAATAGAGTTTCATACGCACTCGAAATGTTCAAACATATGCTCAAGATTCTTAGGAAAACAAACTTGCCCCATGGCTCAGATCATCGGTGAGCATTGAATCGGGGCATCATAGGATTTGAACTCTCACGAAGACGTTCCCCAGGAGAGAATCGCCGTGCTTCACAAAACAAACTCTAGGTATGTATCCTTTCGGGGAACACCTTTCGTGATTAGAATTTCATATGCACTCTTTCTGAATGTTCAAGAGGGTTTCGACTATCCTGAAATCATGAGAGGCTCACGAAGACGTTTTCCAGGAGAGAATTGAATTTAGAGGGGGGGGGGGTTCGGTATTGAAAAATCAATTCCCCGGGGTCTGTATTGAGAAATCAATTCGAGGGGGGGGGTTTTGAATTGAACTATCAGATATTAGACCCGGACGCCCCGACACTTGCTTCGCAAACAAACTCTAGGTATCCCCTTAGGGGCTACCTTTCGTGATGCAAATAGAAATACATCTGTATCAAAAAAACCTTCACGAAGAGCTTCGCCTGCCACTGCGAACCGCTTTGGCAGGGCTGTTCGTGAACCTCGAAGTGCAGAGTTGATGGCAGTCGCGGCGCGGGGCGAACCTCTACATGCAGATGTCGTGGCAGCGCAGCACGTCGTGAACCTCGACGAGCAGATTTCGTGGCAGGCGCAACCATCTGTGAACCTCGAAGTGCAAATTTTGTGGCAAAAGCGGCGGCGTTTTTTGAACCTCGACGCCAAGATTCCTGCGGCGTTGGACGAACCTCTACATGCAGAGTGCGTGGGAGGTGCAGGGATTGCAAACCTCAAAGTGCACATTGCATGCAGAGCGAAACATTTCTGAGGATCTCAAGCTGGCGATGTCCAAATCACCCTTAACACGTCTCGCCTCGAAAGTATAGACAAAGCGACCAGAAGACCAAGGGACCAGGACAACAGGAGGAATAAACTTTTTGAATCCCCGTTCATGTTTGCATGTTGGACCTAGGATAGGTCATTCTGTGCTACCAAAAAAGGGTTTCCTCAACATAGGGGGCTACAGAACGCATGCCGCGCAAATTTTTTCGCTACTAAATGGGCGAAACCTTGCAACAACAACAACAACAACTGCCAAAAATTACAGGATGCCTGACCCATTGGCCAGGTTCTCGAGAACCTGGATGTAAAAAAGAAAGGGTGTGATCACTACAAAATGTCAGTCACAAATATCAGATTTCCATGGACGCGATGTTCAAAAACAGACGCCTGAGTTTGAACAAAATGAAGACTCCCAAATCGCCAATCCCCTTGGTCATAAATATGTTTGACCATGTACATCCTGTACAACATGGAGGGCCCATGGGCGTCCAACTGTCGACAGGTTAAAGTCCTTGCCACCTGCAACCACGCTTGTGCATCAACAAAACGCATAAGTTACGAATCCTCGGACCACCAATTTGGCAATGGAAATGTTAACGATGATTTTGTTGATACGAATTTTTGTTTATCTAAAGGGTTCAATTTTCTCTTGATAGGTACCTTCGCAAGCGACTTTGAGGATCCGCTGGTCAATCTGGTGATGTCAGTTGGGCCGCACTCCAATGACCTTGACAGTGGCGAAACTACCGCCGACGAGGGCGCCTTCGACGATCTCAAGGACGCCTATGCTGTATGTAGTCGAAGTACATCCAAGGCCAGTGGGGAAACTCCTTCCTGGCTGGTTTCAGGATTCAAGATGCTTCAAGTTACACGTTTGCCCATGAGCCACCTCATCGTGGACTTTGCAAGAAACACAAACAGTGTTCACTGAAAGGTTGGAAACCTTTCCTTGGTGAAATAAGTGTCCCGAAAAAATTCCATGACGCAGTTGTC